GAGACCGTCTGTGATAAGGAGGCAAATATTAAACTCTTTCTGCGCCCGAGGGCATGGCCGAATGGCGACGGATGCACAGGCAGTGGTCGGAAGAAGAAAACAACGTTTTAATGAGGTGCTGGCACTATGAGGCAGAGCAGGGGTTTATTGAAAAGGAATGCTGAAATAATGAAGGAAGTTTCAGTGATGCAAGCGAACAATGTCTGGCGGGCCACAAACGGCTCAATGATAAGAACATAGTGCCAATAGAATTGGAGTTGGATGAGATCAAAAAAGCGCGTCAATTCAGGCGAAGGATGAGGTACAGTGACATAGCCCGCAATGAGGAAACTAACGAGGTATATGTAATACAAAAGAATGCAAATGGAATCATCGAACGAAACGTGGGCACAATCACTGAAACGAATATGTGCGGTCAGCTGAAAAAGATCAAAACTGGGCAGCAACACGCCTGGATAAGGCGCCACGTTCTGGCTTAAACGACTAACGTGCTTGTGCTTGCGAATAGTAGCATTCTTACAGACATTGCTTGAAGAATGACCACCTTCTTGATTAACATTAAGAGTGACATAGCTAGAAATGAAGGATGAAAAATGGGTTATGATCATGTGACTAACTACAGGCAGATCACATGTCTTCTGACGACCTGGAAACTCCTGAATTCTTCCTTATTTAACGCCGTTCACTAGTATCTCGAGGTAGACAATATATGTCCTGAACAGAAAGGCTGCGCGACGACATATAGGAGACCTGCGGACCAATTACCAGTAGATAGTGCGCTACATAGAGGTTGCAAAATGAGTAGGCCAACACGTCCACGGCATGGTCCAGAGTTAGGAAGGCAACAGCTGGATCCTGGAATGTTTGACACCTAACAGCATTAACGGCTGCCTAATAAGGATCTTCAAGACACCGATGAAACAGAGAGAACAATATTGCTCTGTAGAGAAGTCTCTCTAGGATCGGCGAAGATCAAGCGAGGAATCCATCAAGAGTTTGAACCTCACCGCTTCTGTTTTTTCTGGCACTGAATTCGCTCCACTAAATGCTGATTAACAGCCGGAAATTATAAAATGAAAGGAGGCAGTGTCATATGGCACCTGCTGCAATTTGAGCGGCCTGAAGATCTATGCAAGAGCGATAAAAAAGCTGAATAATCTAAGACAATGCGCATGAATTTTTTTCAGAAGATCTCAGGTAGAATTCAATTTGGATAACTGTATTGTTGTCGATAGTTTGGATAAAAGGCAAGATCTGAAAAACAATGGATTGCAGCTGCCAACAGGTAAAATAAACAAAGTGGGAGAAGTACCGTCTCAGATCATAAATACTTCGGCGTGCTAGAACTGGAACATAGCATGAAAAAATGAAACCATCCATAAAGACGGAATGCGAGAAGAGAATCGCCGAATCCTGAATTTTTGCGGGAAGAACAAAACTGTGTCCCTTAACCAGCAAGCGGCACCAGTGCTTGCTTTTACACAAGGCAGCGTGAGCGCAAGTGGAAAGGCTGGAACTGGATAGAAAGAGATCTTTAACAGATACGGGATGGTACATACAAAAACAGATACATTCATTCATTCATACATTCATAGTCCAGAAACAGATATGTCCCGCGTAAAGGAGGGCAAAGAGGGCTTCGTAGAATCAAAGACACAATGGAACTCTGGGCGTCATCCCTCAGGCAATCTAAGGGGCAATCTGACCATGGGGTGCTGACCGCTGCAGAAAATAACGGCCTGTAAAAGAACTACACAACTGGGACAGCAGATAGCTGGAAATTCAGGAAAATGTAGAGAAAGCCTTACACAATGTTTTACAGGATGAAGTAGCTTTGTGAGCAATATCTTCGCCAACTCGGTGATAACATATACATTCACAATACTTTCACCTGCCTGTCAAGAAATCGACTTCATATCGCAAACGAAGCCTGTCCAATAGCCGCCAACGACCAAACGGTGAACATAAATTCATATAAGGCGAAGACGCTGCAATGCGAGGCAGAGGCAAAACGCAGAATATGTCACGTGAAGCGGGAGACCGTGATCCATATAATTTCCGGCTGGGAAACGCTCGCGAGTCGAGAACACAAGGAAAGGCAGAGCAACTTTGCAAGGATAGTCCATTGGCATTTGTGCAAGCGAAACTATTAAGCACTGGCAAAGCAACATCAGCCGAAAGCGGTGGTAGAGACTTCGAAAGTGAGAATACTCTAAAAGTTCCCAATAAAAACTTTTTCCTTAACACGTCCCTTAAACAAAGGTCGGCTAATCGAGTCAACCTCCTCCCGTTTTTCTGCCCTTGGTTAAATCTTCTGACTCCTCGTAGTTTTATACCATTCTGGACGAAAACGTCCCATCTTTTCTTTGCTGTTCCGTTTCCTTTCCTCCTTGGCAATAGCAGTGCTTGAATTACATTTCCGATGTACTCGCTGGGTCTTTTTTTTCTCACGTGACGTAACCTGCTTTCGATAAGCTTTTCTGAAATCGGGGCCACGCCAT